AATATAATTTGTTCAAGATCCAATGTATTTATTTCATCTAAACGATCTATAGAAATTAATGAATCATCATGTTTGTGCTTGTGGTGTATTGAAAAAGACAAATCGTTTTTCGATTGATTATGTTTAATTTGATTTAATATAGATAATTTTTGTGCACGTCGAATAAAATTGCTAACAGTAAAGTTGACTATGGTGGAGAAAGAACCACTTAATGATCGTGCATCTCTAAAGATGGATTCACAAGGTTGAGAATTAAACAAATGTATATTAATCAGTGTTTGTTTAGGCAAATATTGTTGTTTCACCAAAAGCACCAAATAAAGCAGGTTACGTGCATTCAATTCAATAGACAAGTATGCAGGTTTTGAAATAAACCATTTATTTACGTTATTTGTCCTTTCAGTTGTTGCTTTACTTATTGATGAATTGGAAAATGACTTCATTTTTAACCACGACCATCATATGCGGCAAACGAACACGACACACCATGCTGATTGTACACCTAAATGTATAGAAGATTTTTGAGATTGATTAGTTTAGATTTATAATTTTTAAAGATCAAAAATAAACTTACGTTCACGAACAGATGTTGATTTATCAATCTAAGCTTTCACTATCATTTTTAATAAAGTTAAGTATACAACGGTTCCATTAGTGTCCACAGCATTAATTAAAAGATTTATCACGTCATCTAATATAAATTTAATGCATGAGTTGTAGTTCTGGCGATCTTTCGGATTAATGTCGCTGCTCGTGAGACGAAGATCACTTTTTGTATTATGACCATCATTGATCAATGCTTCAATATGTGTTATACTGATTTTGTCGATTCCAAAACATAAATCAGTTGTTGATGACAATAATCGATTTCTGCATTTTGTTACAAGATGAACTGAATCTTGGAAAAACAAAAGTAACTGGTTATGTCGAAGGAAAAACCATGTCCAATGTGTTGGTATATTAATTGTAAATGCATATTGATGCTTATCTAATTGTACATCGGATAATGATGCAAAAAAACCACTTGCAAGACGCATAGCGCTTACATATCTTCTGTCGGCATCTATTTGCAAATCAAAGCAGTATTTTAATAAGCATGAACAACTTAAAATTTACCTGTAGAAAAACCAATGACGTGGACATTTTGGTCCCGATAATGTGGAAAAATATACATCCATCGATTTAATACATTTATTGCAGTAATTTTATTGTCAACACCGTATGCTGATAACAACAGTGGTCTTGGAATACGTGTTGCATTATCTTTAGTTGGTATGGGTGAATCCATGGGAAACGTACCACATTTACATCGACTTTCTCAGAATCGACTGAAACTTTCACGGTTTGTAGAGCTCGATGAGCTGATCATTTTGGTAATAAATTATTAAATGTTTGAATATAGACTCGGGTTGAAATAAGCAAAATATGATTTTCGAAATTTCGGAAAAACCATCGTCAAACTGAAAAGTTCTGGTTTTTGTGCGAAGATTTTCTTTTTAATTTTACGACCAAAAGAAAACACTCTATATATATTCTGATAGCCTGCGTTCAGCTCTATCGAACCACATATGAGCCAAGTCGTTCAGCTTCAAAAAAGTGAAACTTTTAATGGAAGCCCAATAATTTCACTACTACGCAAGCTTTGTCTTCGAATAAAAAATCTCTTCCGAATTTGGGTGAAGGGTGGCATACTAGATTTCGTAGAGCGTCGCTCGCTCTATCTTCTGGTATATAGGGCTGCTTAGCCGCTTTCCATTTTCGCTCCTTACAGAGTCAAGAAACTTATCTATTAGCTTTTTTAACAGTTCTGAGTTTATATTTCGGGAATTTTTTAGTGAAATACTCGATGGATTTTTCTGAAAATTTAAACCCAGATAGATCTCAACTAGTAGGATAAAAGTCATGCGAAATTTTACAAACTATCATATTGTCTTTCACATCCTCTTATAATAGTAAAATGTCAAAACCATTGTTTGAACAGTTCAACGGTCAAAAGAGAGAGGGGCGTATTAGAAGCCAGTTCGACCGATTTGGAGGTTTTTTGTCCAACCCCATTGAATCTTATACCAATACTAACAGCATGTTGAAACAAACATTTCGACACTATCTTCGTGGGGTTTTGACCGAACTTTTGGAACAAAAGGCCATTAACGAAGCAGCTCACTTTTTGGTCATTTGTCCAATAACGTAATCGATTACGGTCAACTTATTGTTAGAGTAAATTCAAAAGAAAAGATACCTGTACAAATTCAGTATTTGATAGTGTTTTAATAGGATTTCAATCCTATATATGATTAATCAGTGATTATTTGATTCAATGGGGAGGAATCTCGTATACTGTTAGACACTGTTGATATAGGTCCTATATTTATGATCAACTCTTATTTTTCAACAAATATTTTATCATAGAAATTCAAATGAGAAAAATTCTAGCACGGTTCATTGGATAGNGCTTTGTTAACACTTTTGAGCTCATATTTCGGGGATTTTTTAGTGAAATACTCGATGGATTAGTCTGAAAATTTAAATCCAGATAGGTCTCAACTAGTAGGATAAAAGCCATGCGAAATTTTACAAACTATCGTATTGTCTTTCACATCCTCTTATAATAGTAAAATGTCAAAACCATTGTTTGAACAGTTCAACGGTCAAAAGAGAGAGGGTACGTATTAGAAGCCAGTTCGACCCATTTGGAGTTTTTGTCCAACCCTATTGAATCTTATTACCAACACTAACAGCATGTTGAAACAAACATTTCGACACTATCTACGTGGGGTTTTGACTGGACTTTCGGAACAAAAAGCCATTAACGAAGCAGCTCACTTTTCGGTCATTTGCCCAATAAACTACTCGATTACGGTCAACTTATTGTTAGAGTAAATTCAAAAGAAAAGATACCTGTAAAAACTCAGCATTTGATAGTGTTTTAATAAGATTTCAATTCTATATATGAATGAATCAGTGATTATTTGAGTGAATGGGGAGGAAGCTGGTATACTGTTGGACACTGTTGATATTGGTCCTATATTTATGATCAACTCTTATTTTTCAACAAATATTTTGTCATAGAAATTCAAATGAGAAAAATTCTAGCACGGTTCATTGGATGGGTCTTTTGAAAAGCTACAAAAATCGTATATTTTGAAAGTCTACAACATTTGGCTACTAGGAAAACTTTTAGTCACGTTGTGCTTTGGGGACGGTTTTTTTCACGTTTCTGCCCACTTGTGGTTGGTATGAGCGTTCCTTTTTCGTAAAGGTAAGCTCGGTAAAGGTCAAAACTAATAATAATTCGAGCTCAACACCAAAAACTGAGTCGATTTTCGTACCTTTCAAACATATCTAAGAACTTTCATTTTTCTAGAATACCTTCTTCATAGTCTTCCTCAGGGTACACTCAACAAGTGGCTTCTACCAGAATGAAGTTTTTACCGTTTAGCAGGCTGTCATTTCACTTACAGTATTAATTAAGAAGTGATAGCACTTCATTCGGCGAAGCAAATAATATTTACGAGAATTACTTTTTTTTTGAGAGTACTCCAACGAAGAATAGAGGACCAATTTTCGAGAAGAATGAAAATTCTCAGAGATATTCGAAAGATACATAAATCAATCCAGTTTCGGTTAGCTTTCTCTTTCATCCAAATCTCCTACCCGTTAAATATTAATAGGTCGGTAGAAATCAATAGAAAACTAAGATCTGTATTAGCTACGTTAGTCGTGTTAGTTATGCTACTTTAATTTGTAGATTGATATAATAAAGAAGACAATACAGGTTCAGATAATGAATATGTATTTTATTCAAGGGAAACGGGTGATCCAGACAACAAAAATAAACAGCTGAACTACTGGGGGAAAACTTGTTCATATAGCTACGCGCGAGAGCGAGAAAGAAATAATATAGAAAAATATGCAGATGTTCGGGAAACATCGCGGCTCACATAGGTTACGTAAAGGAGAGCGAAAAGAATGAAAAAGGCTAGCGGCAACAACATAATATCTGTTGATGCTAACAGTTTCCGATGCTGATTCCGGTCCGGATATTGGTTTAACTCAGAGTAGGCTCTTCTCTATTAAAAAGAGTTTTCAACAGCTTAAAAAATGGGTGAAAGCGTGCCCAAAAACCGAATCCCGAGCACAACACGGCTAGGAACTTTCCTACTGGCCACAGTTTTTAGACTTTCAAAATATATNTGTATATACTTCGTCTAAAATAAGTGATTCTTTGATCCTTAGAAGGTTCAATACGGCCTATATGGCTGAGTACCAATGTAACGGAAAAGGTTGACCGATCAAGCTGAAACTTATAGGAATGATTACTGACTATGAACCCTACAATTGCTGAAAGTTTCATGTAAAACTATAAGTGCTTTCTAGGGGGGCCGATTTCAACGCAAAACGTCTCCCGTCCTTTAAATCCAGATAGGTCTCAACTAGTAGAATAAAATTCATGCGAGATTTTACAAACTATCATATTGTCTTTCACATCCTCTTATAATAGTAAAATGCCAAAACCATTGTTTGAACAGTTCAACGCTCAAAAGAGAGAGGGGCGTATTAGAAGCCAGTTCGATTGATTTGGAGGTTTTTTGTCCAACCCCATTGAATCTGATACTAATATTAACAACATGTTGAAACAAACATTTCGACACTATCTTCGTGGAGTTTTGACCGAACTTTTGGAACAAAAAGCCATTAACGAAGCAGCTCACTTTTCGATCATTTGTCCAATAACCTACTCGATTACGGTCAATTTATTGTTAGAGTAAATTCAAAAGAAAAGATACCTGTACAAATTCAGTTTTTGATAGTGTTTTAATAGGATTTCAATCCTATATATGATTAATCAGTGATTATTTGATTCAATGGGGAGGAACCTCGTATACTGTTAGGCACTGTTGATATAGGTTCTATATTTATGATCAACTCTTATTTTTCAACAAATATTTTATCATAGAAATTCAAATGAGAAAAATTCTAGCACGGTTCATTGGATAGGTCTTTTGAAAAACTACAAAAACCGTATATTTTGAAAGTCTACAACATTTGGCCACTAGGAAAACTTTTAGTCATGTTGTGCTTTGGGGACGGTTTTTTTGACGTTTCTGCCCACTTTTGGTTGGTATGAGCGTTCCTTTTTCATAAAGATAAGCTCGGTAAAGGTCAAAACTAATAATAATTCAAGCTCAACACCGAAAACTGAGTCGATTTTTGTATCTTTCAAACATTGCTAAAAACTTTCATTTTTCTAGAAAACCTTCTTCATACTCCTCGTCAGGGTACCCTCAACAAGTGGCTTCTACCAGAATGAAGTTTTTACCGTTTAGCAGGCTGTCATTTCACTTACAGTGTTATTTAAGAAGCGATAGCACTTCATTCCGCGAAGCAAATAATATTTACGAGAAATTACTTTTTTTTTGAGAGTACTCTAACGAAGAATAGAGGACCAATTTTCGAGAAAAATGAAAATTCTCAGAGATATTTGAAAGATGCATAAATCAATCCAGTTTCTGTTAGTTTTCTCTTTCATCCAAATCTCCTATCCATTAAATGTTAATAGGTCGGAAGAAATCAATAGAAAACTAAGATCTGTATTAGCTACGTTAGTGGTATTAGTTATCCTACTTTAATTTGTAGATTGATATAATAAAGAAGATAATATAGGTTCACATGATGAATATGTATTATATTCAAGGAAAACGGGTGACCCAGATAACAAAAATAAACAACTGAACTACTGGGGAAAAACTTGTTCATATAGCTACGCGCGCGAGAGAGAGAAAGAAATAATATAGACAAATATATATATGTTGGGGAAACATCGCGGCTCACATAGGTTACGTAAAGGAGAACGAAAAGAATGAAAAAGGCTAGCGGCGACAACATAACATCTGTTGACACCAACAGTTTCCGATGCTGATTCCGGTCCGGATATTGGTTTAACTCAGAGTAGGTTCTTCTCTATTAAAAAGAGTTTTCAACTGCTTGAAAAATGGGTGAAAGCGTACCAAAAAACCGAATCCCGAGCACAACACGGCTAGAAACCTTCCTATTGGCCACAGTTTTTAGACTTTCAAAATATATCTACTAGTTGAGACCTATCTGGATTTAAATTTTCAGACTAATCCATCGAGTATTTCACTAAAAAATTCCCGAAATATGAACTCAGAACTGTTAAAAAAGCTAATAGATAAGTGTCTTGACTCTGTGAGGGGCGAAAATGAAAACCGGCTAAGCAACCCTATATACCAGAAGATAGAGCGAGCGGTGCTCTACAAAACCTAGTATGCCATCCTTCACCTAAGTTCGGAAGAGATTTTTTATTCGAAGACAAAGTGCTTATTTCAACCCGAGTCTATATTCAAGCATTTAATAATTTATTACCAAAATGATCAGCTCATCGGGCTCTACAAACCATGAAAGCTTCAGTCGATTCTGAGAAAGTCATGTATAAAGTGGTACGTTTCCCATGGATTCATCGTATACTTTGAAACATATACACATTCAACAATGGTGCTACTTCATTTGTATCATAAATTGTTTTTAAATCATTAAATGTATTAGCTTGATAGAATTTTGGTAATGGAACACTATGATCAATTGGTGTTACAAATCCGACAAAGGAATTTGTTTTAGAGTCATATTCAACTTTACGAATGATCCCTGTGGTGTTTTCAGAATAAAAACCAAACTGGGAATGACATTGCCGAAGAGATCCAAAGTAAAATTCTGCTTCACTAAAAGCAGTATCTGATTTTTTAATTAATTCACCTAGTGTTGTCAAATTAGGAATAGAACCATAAAGATTTAAACGAATAAATTCATAGACTTGTTTGCCACCGA